AAACTTAGCTATAAATTACCAGAATTCCCAAATTTCAATATTAAAATGTTAATTACACAAAATCTATCAACTTTTACATTTTTCAGTTTTTACAGTTACCATTAGAAAAAATCAAGAAATTTTCATCATCAGAAAAGATTCCAATTAATTAAACAATTTCTTTTCAAATTTGGTTTTTAGGGTCTCACTGACATACGCTAAAAATTTTGAACAATATTAAAGCATCAAATTAAAGTCTATACAGAATGCGCCAGAACTCGGGCCTCAGAAAAAAATGCCATGTAAAGTAAGATACCAGTAACTGGAAAAAATGTTAAAAAATTCTATCTATAGAAATTTCGATGTTATGAGAGTTTAAATTTTGCACTTTGACTCTATTTATTTCTGTTTTTTTGCTACAGGCTTTTAGAAGAGGAACGCTGTATCCTAAATTGTAACTCTATATAGTTTGTTTGTGGCTTTTATTTGCACAATTCTTGTACCTTTACTACATAATTATATAAAAAAAAACATTAAATAGACAAAAAAACGTCACAAGTCAAAAATTTTTAAACATTTTTTCCATGTTCCTGGTATCATTTTACTTGATTTTTTTTTCTGAGGCGCGAATTCTGACACACGCTGTATAATCCTCTAAAATTTTATTTTAGTCAATCAGAAATATTTATTTTTGCAACGGCCCTAAAACTTGGGACACCGTGTACAGTGCGACTGAAATAATGCAGCATATAAGTATTGGAATTTATCACTTTTCCGGAATATCAAATTTTTGTGAGAAAAAAAGAATGTTCATTGAATCAAATTTTTATTCTAATAAAATATACAAAAAGCTTGATAAAAATCATACAAAACTTGTCACTTGTAAATAATGTAAATTTTAGAGAGCAAATTTTCTATCATTCTAAAATTTAGCTTTCTCTCTCAAAATTTTCCCTGATAAAGTGGTATTTTTGACACTTTGTTAGAGAAGGCAAAAAATAAAGATTTGTAAACTAGATAACGGCTAACTTCAACGTTTTTATTTGGCGACATTTGTGTTGAGTGTTAGTTGTAAACAAAAACATTACATTTCTTTTGAAACACAATAACAACGGTTTTTAGAAAGTTGATTTGTTTTGTCGTAGATGTAGATAATTGAGGTTGTATACATAGGTGAACCTACATATTGTAATTTTAATTTTTTTATACAAAGTGTAATAATATTGCAATTGTGGGCGAAAACATGATCGTGTAACTAAAATCAATAAAGTTTTTTACAAAATAATAAATAAATACCCCCCCCCCTGAAAGAGATGCGTTTTTTTTTTTTTTTTTTTTTTTTTTTTCAGGGGATGTAGCTCCCTTATTTAATTTTTTTCGACACATATTTATAGGAAACTTTTATCTTAAAATTGAATAATCTATCACCTGTTTGAATTTGGAACAATAAAAACGAAGCACCCTGTATATTATACATAATTTCTGAAACTCATAAGTACTTTAATTTTTTTTGCATCAACCAAGGATTAGTTAAAATTTAAATTGCTCTCATAAGTTTTTATTTTATACAATTATATGCTTAAAAAAGTAAGTGGCAATAAAGTTATGTGCTAAATCTAAATAGGTATTCTGACTATTATAGCATTAAAAATTTTACAAGCACCTAATATATTTTTTTTTTTCATAATTAAACTAAATTCCTAAAAATATGTAATTCATTTACTTAAAAACGTAATAAAAAACGCGATATAATCAGCATTAAACCACAAAAGATTATTATTTTAAAGTCACGCAACCGAAAGCGTGAAAAATCTGTGGGTGAGCAAAAAAAATCATTATTATTATGCCACATCTCTTTACGCTGTACCAGGACAACATAACCTTCCAAAAGTGCGTAACTGTGTAGGCATCTCATTACCATAACCAAAATTCATTAGCCGGTTAAACCAATGAAAACTAGTGGGCGTTACTAACCTTCAACAGAGGCGGAGCTACTATCATCACGTTCCCCACCAACCGGTTTCTTCGGTTTGCGTTTGCGCGTTTGTATTCCATCCTTCCTCATCGCTAAAGGTCGATTCACGCCGTGTAATTTGAAGTATAATCCGCAGGCGTTACAAACAGGTTCACCGTCGTTGTTGCGACGCCATAATGTCGTCGTTCGCGTCCCGCAATTTGTACAACACAGCCCTAATCTCCTGGTTGCCGTCTGGAATGAAAAATCCTATGAACAATTATCACAGATATCTACGGTTTCATTTAAGTAGGATGTAAAATGTTACTTCTGGGCCAAGATATTTGGCGCGTTAAAAAGGCAGAACCTTAAAAATTTAGTTTTTTTTTAAAGTAAAGACCTAAGATCCTTCAAAAATGACCAATTTTTATGCACCCCAAAAGTACTCAACTATCTGTAGACCACCAAAAATTGGGCTCACGAAAATCTCACTATAATTTTTAGACATTTGGGTATTTTTGAGGTGTATAAAAATTCGTGATTTTAGATCATCCTTGATTGCATATCTTTGAAAAAATAGTTAAATTTTTAGGTTTCAACCCTGTTTTTAAGGCGCAAATATTCTAATACCATCTCTCCTCGATTTGGTCTTATTTTTCCTTTTTTTTTTACATGCGCCAAATGGCTTGGTTAAGAAAAAAAGCCATTTTAGGTTTTTTAAAAAAAAGGTATTTTGTAAAATATTTAGGGCGTTTTTAAGATAATTTTGCATTATTTTGGGAGATTTAAACGGTTTTTTCATGTGCCAAATTTTTGGTGCGGTTTACAGATTGTGCATAAAAATTAGTGTTTTTTTGAATAAGGATTTTAGGTCTTTACTTCTGAAGAAACAGTTAAATTTTTAGGGTTCTGCCTTGTTTTTAAACGCGCCAAATTTCTTGGTCCAGAAGTAACATTTTACAAATATTATTATTATATAAATGCTATTCGAGTAATGACTTACCAATCTTTTCGAAGGTTTTATTAGTGGTCGGTTCATGCCGTTCATTTTGTGGTAAAGTCCACAAGCATTGCACAAATAGTGTCCCGTGCCGTCGCGACGCCATAATGGAGTCGAAATAGCCCCGCAATTTACACACTCACGCCCTTCGCCGAACTGAAACTCCATGCTTCCGTCTGAAACAAGAAAACAGATCCCTGATTTAGATAATAACAAGATCGTAACCACTTGGAAATGTAAAACACAAACAAAATTGTATAAATTAGAAACTGATTTTTATTATGTATACTTACAGCCTAAAAAAAAAACTAAGTTAAAGTTAAGAAATATTGCAACTCTATAAGTTTTATTGCTTATACATACAGGGTGAATATAAAGTATGGAACCAAGCGGTTTAATTTTTAATCATTTGCCTCCAGCAAATAATAATAAACATAAATTAAAGTAATATAAAAAATGTGATCGTATTTTCAGAACGAAATTTTGTTTTGTTTTTGAGTTATGCGATTTTTTTTGTCAAAATTTGCAATTTATGTGTAAATTTTTTTTTGAAAAAATTAAATATAAAGCGGATAGTTGTAATTCTTAGAGTATAGCTTTTATGAGAAAAATGATTTTATAGTGAGTTGCCATTTAATTAAATATTTTTTTTTTGTAGAACTCAAAAACAAAAGGAAATTTCGAAAAATTTTATTCTTGTTAAATTATCACATTTTTATAGTACTTTATCACTCATCAATTAGTTTAAGCAAAAAATGTTTGGTTCCATACTTTTTATTCACCTGGTATACAAAATCTTCGATAAAAAAAAATCAAACTAAAAATATTAAATAAAAAAAAACTTTCACAGATATGGTTCTTCAAAAGTTAGATCTTTGGGTTAAGTTTTTAACTGTTTAGATCATGATGTATTCTTGAATTTAGTTAGTAGGAACGGCAGATCTTGCAGCAGACACTTATTTATAATGACCAATATGCGTTTTATGGTATATAAAACTAGCAAATTTAAAAATAAATTAAATCAATAAATTATAAAAAAAAACAAATAAATTAAATGGATATGAAAGCTCATAAAAGCATCAAAGTTTTTAAAGTTTCTGAGATATAGAATTTTAGTCGCTGAACAAATTAAAGTTTAACGCGCAGCCTTAAATTTCATCAACAATAATTGCAAACAATTATCTTTGGAATTAATTCTGCAAAATCTATTACACTGTTTAAGAAAAAACTGTTAAAATTAGCAAAAACAGTCACAAAAAAAGTGTTTTCGAATAAAAAATAATAATAAAGAGGTAAAAATTTTGGATCACGGAATTTCAAAAATCACCGAGTGATAACAATTATAAACTTTGGAATTAAGTACTTACTCCATAGATGCAAACTTTGTTTATACTGCATTTTTATGAAAAATTTTGGCATTTTTTATATCTTAGAAACCCTAACATTTTTAACTTTTCTATAGGCCTGTACTATCACCTCTTAAAATTATTAAAATCACCCAGTATGGAGTATGTGAGTTCAGTAAAATTGGTTAGAAAACTTTAATATAATTGAACCAACCAGTTAAGTATTTTTTTCATAAAATCGTCTGGTAATGACTAATGTACTTGCAATTAACCTCAAATGATAAATGTTTGATGTTAATGTCAGACAAACACGAACTGAAACCACGACGTCACCTAATAAATAATAATTACGTTATAGCTATCGAGATAGATACAATAAATGTCTAGTATTTGCTCATAATTAATTAGAATCTTTGAATCAACAACTGCACTTTGAAATTTAAGATATAAAGAAATATTCAGATTAACATGTATATCTAATTAGAAAAACATTATTTTTATATGCGTTTGTATTATCAGCCAATATTGTAAGAGAAAACTATAAAAACGGTTGTAAAGATTATTTATATTACGTAAATAAATAACATCCATACAGGTATTACATTATTATTATAGACTCAAGTATTAGGCATCTTTTAGGTCATAATAATTGTTTACACAGTCGTAAATCACTAAATTGGTATAAGATACAGAAACACTAATTTCGAGATTAATGTCTTAATAATAACCAATTTTATTACTCTTTAAAGTGATAATAGTGGAAAAGATTGTTTATTCTAATCTAATAAAACGTCATAAATCTCTATGCAAATTATAAAACTTTCGAAAAAAAGATCACACACTGATTTGTTTTTAAGTTTCTTTTATTTTTAGCCCAGTCAAATTAGATAAAAATAAGGCGATCGGTGGAAGAAAATCCTAGAGAGTTGGATTTATTTTAAACGTTTTCTTTATTCTTGGGTAGACACATATTAAAAGTCCCCGAAGGTGGGGGGCGAGCTCGAGGAGGGGGAGGGGGCTAAAGGTGTCTTTTTATGTTTTTTTGCTTATATCTCGGAAACTATTACTCCTAACGGTTTTTGCCTGCTTATCAAAATTAAAGCTTACAAAATTTCCTACAAAAATGGTCCTTTGCATTTTTAGGACTAATTGTAAGCGAGTTATAGGCCTGACAAAAAACATCAATTAATAAAATGTGCTTTATCCGCATTTAAAACAGAATTAATCTTGTGATTTGAAAAAACTGAAAGCAAATTAAATTTATTGGGTGCAACACTTCACTAGAGAGTCTATAAAGTCTTCCGAGACGTCCTCATATGCCGCATCTTCGTCTTCAACTTAAACATTGAAAGCCGAATTACAGTCTGGTTCAGTACAATAATAATAATTAATACAATAATACAATAATAATAATTAATAGATAGATGATTTAATCTCGATGATTTAAATAAAGCTTACAGTAAATTGAATGTATTGGATCCAACAGTTTATTAGAAGGTGCCACGAGGGTCTATTATGTCTTCCGAGTCATCCTTATATGCTGAACTAGCATTTCCCTGAGACTTTGTCCGCGTGTATTTCTGATATAAAATGGGAAAAGGCCCGTTCACAAAACCATTCCATAGGCTTAGGTACACTATAAAGCTAGATACTTACTTATGTTATGTATTGGATTCAGTTATAATAGTCTCGTTTTTCGCATGGGCTATGTTTATGGATAGATATTAAATGTTGATTTTCATAATGTGTCGTCTCAGTGCACTTCTGCACTCGTAAAATTCGAAATTTCATATTTCTAATTTTGTTTTTAAGCATTTAAACTCTATTTTACTTCATTAAAATTTGAAAAGTGCACTTCTACTCTCTCTAAGAATTATATTTTCTAAATTTAATGTTTTTATATCCCTTTAAATATGTAGACCGTTTTATTCCCTTAAAAACTAATTTTCGAAAAATCTGATTTTAGTGCCCCTTTACACCTCTAAAGAATTTTATGTTTATATCTTTGTTTAAACATATACACCCCATTTAACCTCCTTACAGATTGATTCTCTCTTTCATCCAAAATTTTTATTTATATCTCCGTTTAAATGTTTACACCCGAGTCACCTTTCAGGTAGACCAGCTTAGTTGGGGAACGCTCTACACATATAAATACTTACCAGATACTAATGAAATGTGTTTCAAATGATTTTTAATGCATTTTTATGTAGACTCCAAACTTTTGAAGCCTAAGGTTAGTCCTACGACAAAAATGAATAGGACCATTTTTGTAGGACATTTTGATGCAGAAATAGACTTCTACAGAAAATTCTGCATAAATTACATAAACGATGAGTTTGTATTTATAGACCCTCGTGACTCCCCCTTCCTTTAATGAAGTATTGGACACAGTAAATTCAATTTACAAGACTAATTCTGTTTTAAATGCAGATTTAGCACATTTTTTTAAATGATGTTCTTTGTCTGCTCTATAACTCGCTCACGGTTAGTCCTACAACAAAAATGCAAMGACCATTTTTGTAGGCAATTTTGTAAGCTTTAATTTTGATAAGAAGATAAAAACCTATAGGAGTGATAATTTCCGACATATAAGCAAAAAACCAAAAAAAGACACCTTTCACCTTTAACCCCTTCCCCTTCGTCGAGCTCGATCCCCACCTTCGGGGACTTTTGATATATGTCTACCCAAGTGTAAAGAAAGCGTTAAAAAATTCCAACTCTCTAGGATTTTTTTCCACTAATTTGTCTAATTTGACTGGGCTATTTTAACAAAATAAATACATAAAGCTTTTATAATTTTGAAATTTTGGTGTGAAATCTGTCACTTATGTTTTTGAAAGCGGTGCGGCGCTCAGCTTTCGAGCTTCCTGATAAGGCACAAGTGGTGCTTTCCGATCTGCGGTTGCAAACGCCCAAAGCTTTGAACTTGATTTACACTGATGCGCTTTATCACGATCATATCCTAATGCAGCTTTAAATAACAGCCGGCTGGCGTCTCTGAAGACTTACGAGAACCCGCCGCTCATAAAACTAATTATCGAGATCTGCCTTCCTCCATCTTGTGCTATAACTCAATAAGCACCTCTTGGAAGTGGCATGATGCAGTTTATTAGCCATTCGTTCCGAATATATTTGACGCTTTGCAATGCTAGTGCACGCATTATGTAAATAACATGTTGGAAATATTTCTTTTTGTGAAATTATGAATGTTGTAACATGACAATTTCAGATTTTTATTACGTAAATAAAACTGCTAACATGAAACGGCTATATAAAACGTATAGTCTACTAAAACAAAATAATTATTCTGATAATTTTCTGTTTATAGTTTATAGCATCATGGTATAGTAAGATTTTAATTGAATCACATTCAAATTGGTCCACTTATACTTTTGAGAAAATGTCTCTACTGTAATAAAGCATTGTCTCTGATTGGTTGGACGAAGATTTAGCCGGTGCAAATTTGCATTCTGAAAACAGATTTTATTATTATTAAACCTGTTGTTGGTTTATTGCTCTATTTCCTTTTGTTCTGCGGTTCTCCCATAAATGCCGCCAAGATCAATACACAAAACACAAATTTTCTATTTATAGGAGAGAATACTTAAGTTATGGCTTTGCGGAAAATATTTTACAATTTACGACTCTGGCAAATACCATTAAAGATAATGGATTTTACAAAATATATATTTTTTCATTTTAAAATAAAAAACCTCTTATTGGTTGTTGTACGGTTGGTTGGTGTTGGTATTTAAAATTTTTGAGAATTTTTTTAATAAAAAAAACTCTTATAAATTGTTTCTAAAAACGTTTTTTATGTAAGTATTTAATTTAATACCTAAATATAAAATTTAAACAAACAAATGTCACAAATTATACATAATATGTACAGTCGGACAAAATGAAAATGACGTCTCAATAAACCAGCCCCTCCTGGAATACCAACCCTTCTAACCACAAGAAGGCAGGGTCGTAAATTATCGCATTGCAAATTTGACGTAGTTTCAAGATAAATTCCTTTAGGAGCCGGTTTACAGAAAGCGAAATGAAAATTTAGTTCACAATTATTAAACTAATTCGAATTGAGTTGCCATTTATTTTGCACTTACAAACGTCAAGTTAAATGAAAAGGTAATTTTATTAATGAAAAATTTAACAAATCATTTTTTTTTAATTTACGACCCTGATGCTTGCATGCAGTTAGAAGGGTCGGCATCTACAGCAGGGGCTGTCATTTTCACTTTGTTCGACTGTACAAGGTGTCTCAAGTTTTAGGGCCGAGAAAAAAAAAAAAATTTAATTCATTAAAAAAAATTTGCTAGCGCAAACGATAGAGGATTACAGACTTTAATTTGATGCTTTATTATTACAGTTGGAGACAAAATACTTTGGTCGTCAATGTCACTTGAGTGACATTAAATTGTAAAGCATGCTTTAGGACTGTTAACTTTATTTTTAGCTACTGTCAATCATAGTTGACAAGTTGTACATATTTTTGATAGAAAAATATAATAGCTGTCATCAATTTGAAATTGTCATTTATTTTAACGTTAAAGCTTGAATTACATTAAAATGTCAGAAAAGTGACGACCAAAGTATTTTGTCTCCAACTGTACAGTTCAAAATTTTTAGCGTGTCATTGAGACTCTAAAAACCAAATTAGGAAAAAAATGTTTTTAATTAATTGAAATACTTTCTACTTCTATTTTTTCTTTATTCTATTTTCATTTTCTATTTTCACAGAAAATTCAAAAAAAATTATCATGTAAAATACTTAATTCCAGTTAATTAAAAAAAAATTTTAAATTTGATTTTTAAGGTCTAACTGCCATACGCTAAAATTTTTGTACAGTATGAAAATATTATATTAAAGTCTATTTAATTCTCTATCGTTTACACTATCAATTTTTTTTTAATCAATTAGAAATATTTATTTTTGCGCCGGCTCTAAAACTTGGAACACCCGGTACAGAATGCCACAAAATTTGCGTTGTAACTTTATGATACATCACAAAAAAATATCTATCTGTTTCAAATTTTTTGTTTATGAGGCTTTAAAGTTTGTATATTTGACCCTATTTATTTGTTGGAATATTTTATCGTGTTTGAAGTAGAAGATATCAATAAAAAAGCACAAAAATATTGACCATATTAAAAAAGCTACAAATAAAAATTATTGTAGTTTCTTATTCTCTTTTTAGTTTTTTCTCTCAATGTTGTAGTAGAGCCTGGGAATTAATAAAAAATGTAATTAACAAATTTACGGTTTATTCATGATGTTTTGGAAACGGCTGTTCCCATCTTCAAATATTACATAAAAAAAAATTGAACCTATGTTAGACTAGTTTCTCTATGGTCTACTTCAGTTTCTTAACATTTGTTGAAATTTACATACCTATTGTAGTGATTACATTTTGAATTAGTCACGTAAAATTTTTAGGTTGCAAATAATGCAAAAAATAAGGATATAAAATCAACAAATGTAGGTTCAAACGTTCAAATTCTTAACCCTTTTAATTATAAATGTTTTTTTGACATTTTTTTCATGCTCCTTGTATACAATACAATAACAATGTATCATTAAATTGTTCTGCAAATTTTGAGACATCCTGTACCCTATGCATAAAAACATAAATACATTTCATTACAAACTAAATGAGACTTGCTGGCAAAATAATCTATGAAGAAAAATAAATTAAAAATTAAATTATTTAAATTTTGTTCAGTAAATTAGATAATTTTTGTAAAAATAAAATTATGAATAGAATTATGATTACTTATAATAAATTCATGCATGTAAATAAGTTCCTAAATAATCTTATTCTATAAAAAAATATATAAATATGGTCACATGATTCAAAGCAAAAAGAAAACAATGTTGTAATAATTCAAACTGTTTAAATTTATTTTTAAAATGTGTGGGTTTATGGTTTTTATAAATAAGCAATCTTTAATGTCAGAATAGTGAAAAATGTGTATTAGGTAGGTATATCAAAATTTATTTTGTTCAATTAATCAACATATTTTAAAACATTGTTTCTATCGAAATAATTAATGCAGTTTACAGGTTCAGTAGTATAAGAGACAACTATTGTGTTTAATACATTTTAAACATGCATAAATTAATATCATCAGAAACATAAACTTATTAAGATAACGAAATCATTAAAATGCAATTTATAGATACTTCCGACTGCCCATAACAATAATTATTCATTTTTGTTTACATTTGATAAATTAATCAACCATTCAAATAATTTTATCTCTTTCACAAATGCACAAACAGAATGATTCTGCCAAGAAATCTGAGTAAGGTTAATTTTGGTATTGTTTCAGTCAATGAAACATAAAAATTCTCACCGTATGGAGACGTCCGTTGGAATCCAGCCCCATCATAAGCCCTCCACGAACTCATCATCATATTCTGGGCATAAAATTGGCCCGCTGATAAAGCTCCAGCGTGTGGTGAAGTCCCCAAAGTGTGTGCAGATGGGGCTGCCATTTCACCGTAAGTTCCACCAGCGTGCGCCCAACTACTCTGATGAGCAGCAGCCCCAAAATGTCCACTCGCTGGAGAAGGATATTGGGGCACTGCTCTACTGCTTGGAACGTAAACAGGAGATTGTTGCAGATGCTGATGGAATCCTGCGTTACCGTCGCTGTATCCTCCACCGCCGCCACTTGTATGGAACATGGTCGAAGTTGAAAAAAGAAAATTATTTTTAAACCATCTGAAAATTAAAAAAAATTTAATTGTTTTTGTTTCTGTTTTCTATTTTCTCAAAAATATAGTATAATATTTTTTATAGCTTTAATTTATCTTGTCAGACATGTAATTATCGTTTGTTTGTTGAAACTCATTGTAACGAGTTTCCGGTATCCAAACGCGATTATGTTAATGATTAATTCGTAATCGAGAAGCTCGTATATTTTCTATAATTTATGGTGGAGGCAGTGATGGCTGCGAGATACATTACATGGAAATAATATAAATCATGTGCCATTAAGAAGCGTCGTAATTTGGAACGCAAGGTTAGGCGTAGTGGCGTGTTTTGGTGTAGAGCAAGTATTTGTGGTATGTTATGGAGGTTGGGTCGGGATGTAGTGCTGAAAGTCATTAGTGAAGTCGCGGGTAGCATTTTAAGACTTTACTAAAGCAGACGTAAAGCTGAGACATTTCCAGGAACTCGCACCAGACCACTCACTTTGCAATCTTACTGATTTACACACCGCCTTCATCTTATCGCTCCTTTTGCATGTTTATAACTCTTGTGTGCCGAGAATAGGGATCTTGAAATTCGAATAAAACCACTTTCGAACAAAAAAATGGCAATTCAAGAAAAAAAAACAGATTTGCTCTAGATTTGTGTCTAATTTTGTTTATTCAATGTTAATAAATTAGGAGAATTAGTGCAGTTATAACAATTTTCACAAAAGATTTTTTATTTAGAGTATGTATACTAGTTCCCAACATAACTATTTTAGTACTATTTCATTGAGATTAAAGAAACTCATTTTGAGTTCGTAAAATTTTAAGGAGCGTATACAAAAATAGCCATTTTTTGGATGCATGCTTAAAAAATAACAAAACAAAACAATAAGAAACTTATCTTTGGTAATGAAGAATTCAGATTTAACTGTAAACAATAATTAATGAAAGTAATTAGTGCTTTATTGTGTCATCATCACAGTTTAAACAAATGAAAAACTAGGACCGTATAAACTAAACTTTTGTAACATTTGTACCTACTCTGGCGATATTTGTTTAATAAAATGTCAATAAATAAATGTCAGCATGAAAAGGCTATATACCAAAAAGACGGAAAAACTTAAATTTTTCTTAGCTGTCTTTAAAATACACAATCTTTAGTAATTTTTTACCAGTATTACGTAGCCCACGGAAACTAACATGCAAACTACTTTACATCAACATCTGTTTATGTGCGCCATTGCTAGATTAGTACATTCAGAAACTTAAAAGTTTTTATAGATATTGTTACCGCGTTACAATTGTACGGATCTCCCCTACTCGTATTACCTGGTTGGCTTCACACTTGAAAAACTTCTGTCGTTGTCCTTTTTATTGTTGATAATAATTAATATAACATTTTAGGAATACGTCTAATAATTTTATTTTAAGTGGAAAAGCTTTGTTCGTGTAAGTTTTTATAATTAATGATTTTTTCCATCACATAATCAAGTAGGTATAACAACCAAAATTACTTACTTTATTTTCTTATAATTAATTTAATTACCTGAACTTTGAATACAATTGCAAACCTTATTATTAAAATTTAATATTAGACATCAAAAAATATTAGATAAATCATAAATCAAGAGTTGGTAATGAAGTGAAACATATAATGATGACACATAGGGAAATGTAATGTTATAATAACAACAGTATAGCTTATATAACAACAGTCTTCCGAAAAATGCAAATATTTCAAATACCACAACTTTATGATAGCTTTACGTACTTATCATATTTTAATTTCTGCTTATAATTTCTGTTGACATTTTTATTTTACTTATATAAGTCAAAATAGTATATTAAGCATCAAGAACGGAAAGAACATTTTTACCGATCGAAGACAATTGTTTGGAGGAGGAGCAAAGCGACGACTCCAATTATTGTCTGAGATTAGTTCGTAAGTCGTAAGTTCGTGATGCTTAAGACCTTTTTTACCGCGACTGATTTTTGTAAGTAAAATATACCGGCTGTTCCATTTAAAAAAATAGAGTTTATGTTACTTCCGTTGAAATAGAGAACAGCATTAATCTAGCATCTAGGTATCCTAAACAATAGATCACAAAAAAATGTTCAACTTTATTCTAAAAGTATTGTTATAACTTTAAAAATAATGGAGTTAGGGCTTGTGGTGTTTTTTTTATTAATTAATTTAATTAAAAGGACGTTCAATAGAAAAAAATAGTATAAAAACGCATAATACAACCTCTCATTGTGGCGATCTCGATTTTTCAGTTTTTATTTGAGAGAATCAAAACGCAATCCAAAATACAATAGAACGTTGTATGTACCACGAGAATAATTGTCGATTATAGCCCTCAGATAATTAAAGCCCGACGTTAGGAAACATTTCTTCAGGCCTTAATCTCCTTATTATGCCCTTGGTATGTACATAAATAACTATTACATTACATTGATGTTTATTAATTATTTTATTTTCTGAAAGCAAATGATAAAAAAAAACCGCTTAGTTCTATACTTTTTATTTTCCTTGTATGTAGGTATACTGTATACGACTTTTCGTAACACAGCTGTTATCATGTTAAGACACAACTCATATAAATACTTAATATGAAATCTTAATTAATTTATTATCACAAAACCATATGTCTGCTTAGATGCTAACCATATTTTTATGTTAACTTCTATCTAATCTACTCAGGATGCAAAAGTTTCATTGCATTCCTTTGAAATATAATTTAATAACCCTTCAGTGTCTAGTTCTCAGAGCGCTAATGTAATTGGTTGAAGTCCGCGGCAATAACTTAAATTGTGACTTTTTCTGTTTTATTAATATGACTTTTATGACAACGAAAAATTACCGGAAAGAGCTACCTGTTCAGAAAAGTAATTTTAAAAATATGACTGTCATAAAATATTTTAATTATAGAAGTCATATTTAATGCATTTTCCTAATTAATATCAAAGAAAATTATTGCTCTTAACGTACTTAACATCTTATTTAGACAATTTACACAGAGTAATTTTTAAGTGTTTGTGGTTAAAAATTATAGTTTTTGGTGTATGTAGAAGATTCATGTAGAACACTTCCCCATCGTGTCAAGTTAATGTCGCACACATGTCGTTATAAAAAGACTAACGTCTTAAAGGGATGTAATTATTGGTGGTGAAGGCTATGTTAGTAAATTCCAAGCAAGACACTCTAGATTTAGGAGTCGGAAGGTGCTATTCATGGCCTAATGCGATGTTAGGAATGCAATGGGTCGCATTACTGGCACACGATCGCTGACAGATACTCACAGGTTTGATATATCGAACCGATTTGTTTGAAAAATTTTCAAAAATAATAATAATTTTTTTAACTAGGTACCTAATTATGTAAATTAAGACAAATTTGTTTAGAAATAATACCCACAACGATTAAAAATCTAGCACTTTGACGGATTACTTCAGCCAGTAAAACGGTGGCATATCGTACAGAATGCGATAGTCATATCTATACAATTAGTGTTACTTTAAATACATTCGAAATAGATAAAATTCGAAATATCTTATCAACGACGAGACCCACGCATTTAGCTACACAATAGTTTATCGTTATGCTGCTATTGCAGTTAAATAACAGGCGTTACGCCAAGATTTAGCCTTTATTATTATGTGGAAAAATTACAAGTCTTTCCATTTCTACCTGCTAAAGCTATTAAAGCACTCATTTGAGTAATGTATTTTTTTATTGAATTGTGTTTTTTTTATTAAATTTTAAAATTTTAATCTTTAAAATGACAAGGCTTAATAATCATTTTTTACAAAAAGATACTTATATGCAATTTATTGAATTCGAAATTAAGTTGGCAACATTAAATAATGTAAAAACAAGAGGCTGATATGAATCCTGTCAAGTTTTATTTGTTTGTGACAAAAGAATTAATTGGCAACATTGTATTATTCGTCATATGGGAAAAATCACGGTGGTTGACTGGTGCGTCATCTGACGTTGCTTTGTACGATTCTTTGCAAAGACATTTAAAATTTAATATAATAGATTCGAATTGACGTTCTACATGCAGTGTATTCATTATACCATTATGTTTTTCCAATGTTTTTGGATGTTGTTTCTAAAACTCGGAATTTTTAGTGTAGTATAAAACCGATTTTCTAAAGAACAGTGGGTAAGTTGAGAAGAAAACGGATCCAAAATCGGTATTTCATAAATAGAGAATCATCATAAACATAAGGAGCGTGGACAAGTAATTTCTTACATTGAGTTTTTTTAAGGGTTTAAAACTATAGACGATCTTATGCATTCTTCCAGGTAAGAAAAAAGAAAAAGTTGAAATTCAAGACGTTTACAAAACAAAGTTGCATTTTACTTCCTTCGAAAACAAACAATAAACTTTAAAAAGCTTTTATTCTGATCTTATGAAAACCAGAAAGTTACTTATGTGAGAGTCAGATTATGCGTCGATTTCAGTTTGAACTGTTAATTACTTCATTAAATAATGGACTTCTTAAACAATGCTCATATTTACCTCAAATATCTCAAATAATCACAATTTTATTTACAGTGTGTGGTTTGTGTCATAGCAGACACAATGTGTAAAGTACTAACACAGCATTTGTGTGTTTTTTTTTTATAAGATTGGCCGCATTTTTTTAAATAAAGGATGATGGGGGAGGGCTAATTTTTATCAGTAACCCCTCATTATTTCAATTTTTTACACTAACACAAGTGCATTTATGCTTGATTTCATGGAAGTTAAGGAATTATTAAAAGAATCCAATGAGGCGCAAAACAAAAGCAAGAAAGAAATCAACCAATAAATGAAAAATACTTGCAAATTATACCAAAAAGACTTTCAACGACGACAATAATGTTACTGTCAATGTCAAATTGACAAACTCACTTCAACATGACATTTAAGTGGTATAGTTGAAGTACATATGTAAATTAATGTTCCAGGCTACCATCCTTAGAGACCCTTTAATTATTTTAATTTACATTGTGATAGATTTTTTTAT